GCTCTACAGAAATGAATATAGATAAATAGCTGGAAATTCAGTTGGAAATTAAGCAAGTGAGTTGCCTTGACTTTCTCCCTCTAAGCTAGACCAAAGAGCCTCTGTTGGAGATTCCATTTTCAGTGTTCAGGAAACAAAATTTAAAAAGACCAGAATCAATTACAACAGAACTGGTTAGCTGGTGTTGGTATCACTAGCTCTGGCGTTGTGTTCCAAAGTGCTTGGCTTTGGGTAAACAATCTCCTTTTGGAGAGGAAAGCCCATTTTACTTAAGATGTGAAGAATAGACACACTATGAATTATGGGGGAAAAAATCTGGAAAGAGTTTTCCCCACCTCGCCCCCTAAAAAAGGTGTTTTTCCTTCCAAGTCTGATAACTTGATATCTTAAAACTTCTGATTTCTGAAAAAGCTCTACTTAGAAGAATTTTAAAACTGTATTCATGGGACAATGGAAAGGGTAGGGATAGAAAACCAGATAGGGGCTCTATGTGGAGCCAGAACTGGAAGTAGAAAAGAACTTCACAACTACATTCACAGTGCTTGTCTGCAGAAAACTTCAGGCAACCCCAGACCAGGGGGTCATAATGATCAGCCCCCACATAAATGCCAGTAGGGAGAAATGCCTGGAAGAGACTTTTGTGTGTTCAGTGGAGATCATGCATTAGGAAGAGAATAAGTATTTATTAAATGGCTACTATGTGCCAGGCACTGTCCTAAGCATTTTATAAATATTACCTCCTTTGATCATCACAAGAATCCTATGAGATAAAGTACTATTATTTACCTCATTTTACAGGTGAAGAGGCAGATAGAGGTTAAGTGACTTGCCCAGGGTCACATAGCTAGTAAGTGTCTGAAGATGGATTTGAATTCAGGTCTTCCTAACTCCAGGCCCAGCACTTTATCCACTGCACCACCTAGTTGCCTCTGAATGATGCATGACTAGTGGGCAGCAAGCCTGGTAGAAGCTGTATGATGAAATCATGAGAAGACGTCAGTGTCTTTGCAGTAACTGAAGGATTCTGCCTACATGTTCCATGGGTCTACCTCTGCAAATGAGCCCTGGCTATATGTTCTCTCTACGTGTATGCCATTCCCTATGTGTTCCCACTCCAAACATGTTCCTAATCTACGTCTTTCCATGTATATACCTAACTATACATGTTTCCTTCATGAGTATCTGTATATATTTATGGTCTGCTTATGTCTTCTGTTCCCATTTAATGGTATGTGTACTTTGCTTGATTACAACTTTTTTTCCTTTGAACTAATGACATCTTCTAGCTGACTAGTGAAGGTAAATACATTGGTGGGGGCTCACCAACTATGGTTTTGAAAGGTTGCAGACATAAAATATCTTCAATCCTGTTTTGTGAATCCACATGCAAGTTAGGAGGTGCCCCAAGGTGCTATGTCTATAAATTCACGAAATCAAGCTTTTCTCTGGCATAATTTTCTATGCACATTTCCTTTTTAGGTAACTAGTTAGTATAGTGAATTGTTGTCGCTGCTCAGTCGTTTGAGTTGTAGTCTGACTCTTCAGGACCCTTTTTGGGTTATTTTTTTAGCAAAGACACTGGAGTGGTTTGCCATTTCCTTCTCCAGCTCATTTTAGAGATGAGGAAACAGGCAAACCTGGTTAAATGACTTGCGTAAGATCACACAGCTAATATGTTCCTGAGGTCAGATTTGAACTCAGGAAGATGAGTCTCCTTGACTCCAGGCCTGGCACTTTATCCACTGGGCCACCTAGCTGCCCCAGAGCAATGGATAGGACACCAGATCCAGACTCAAGGAAGACCTAGGTGACACTGTGGAGAGAGCACCTTTTTTTGGGCCAAGAAAACCCCAAATGGGGTCACAAAGAGTTGGCATGACTGAAATGACTGAACAACAATGAGCTGTACTTCTGCCTCAGGCACCACCTAGCTGTTTGATCCTGGACAAGTCATTTAACCTTTGTCTTTCTGTTTTTTCATCCATAAAATGTGGATGAGAATAGAAACTAACTTTCAGGGCTGTTGTGGGGACAAAATGAAACAATATTTGTAAAGTGCTTTGCAAGCTTTACAACTCCATGTAAATATTGGTGATGATTTATCTTAGTTTTATTGTCTGGGGGACACACACACAAAGGTTTAAAATATATCCATATTTGAATAAATTATCATGGCCTCTGATAGTTTCTTCTGGTGTTTCAATAGTAACGAATTTATCTCCTGCCATAGTTAAAATAAGTGTACTGTTGCATTTCTTCTAACTTTCATATGATTAATTATTATTTAGTTCATTCCATTTGGAATTTTTATAGTCTATGGAGAGGAGCACCATGGTCAAGCTGTCAGTTTTAGCTTGGCCTTCTAATTGGCTAACAGGGATAGCACTGACCATTAATCCACTACTGGTCTGAAATGGGGAGCCTAAAGCTGTTAAGAGCAAGTCCAGGGGAGGCAGCCTCCAAGGAAGGACAGATGCTATTCTGGGGTGGACAAAACAGTGTGAAAATAAAGGAGGCAGGCTTGAGGTTTGAGACTAGAACATGCAATTAGTGAGAACAGGGAATATTTATGAAACGAAGGAGTTATGCAGTCAGTAAGTCACTGTTACTCCTAATAAATACTAGGAGTCAATAGAATCCCAGTGCTTTAGCTGTACTTTCTTATGAAGTGTTTCAGGAAGTCCCCGTAGGATAAGCATTTGATGCTGTTGTCATTACTAAGCAAATTGAAAAGCAGGTAATTTGTATAATTGTTATATAAAGGGTTTAAGCTCATTCTCCATTGTGGTTGAAGTCAATACTGGAGCACATTTATGAATCCTGATGCTTTGGGAAAGGGAAGAAGGGTATTGTAGTGGAAAGACCATTGGATTTTTAGCCAAAAGACCAGGATTAAAGATTTAGCTGTGATTCTGAATAGTTCTGTAGCTATTGGCAAATTTCATGCTTTCCTAAAGCCTTAATTTCCCAATTTGTAAAATAAGCATAATAATATATATGTGTGTGTATATATGTATGTATGTATGTGTAAATATGTATATATATATATATATATATATAGATGTATAGCTTATATATATGGCTACCTGCCTCATAGGATTGTTGTGTCAAAAGTGCCTTGTAAACCATAAAGCTGTATGTACATATATAGGTATGTATATACATATATATATATATACTCACATATACATACTCTTCTAATTTAGTTATATTTTTTAAAATGTGACTGAAGCCTTATTGAAATGTCATCTTTGCTATTAGAATATAAGGTCCTTGAGGTCAGGGAGTATTTCAATTTTGACTTTACATCCTTAGAGCTTACCATAGTAAATGCTATATGTTGTTGTTCAGTCATATCCAACTCTTTGTGACCCCATTTGGGGTTTTCTTGGCAAAGATACTGGAGCAGTTTGTAATTTCCTTCTCCAGAGTATTTTACAGATGAGGAAACAGAGAAACAGGGTGAAGTAACTTGCCCAGCGTCACATAGCTGGTAAGTGCCTGAGGCCAGGTTTGAGCTCAGGAACATGAGTCTTCCTGACTCCAGGCCCAGTACTCTATCCATTGTGCCACCTAACTCCCCTTTTCTGGTATATAGTAAGTACTTAATACATGCTTATTGCTTCATCAATCAATTATGATGTGGAGAGATAATCCTGAATTCTCAAGGGCTATATCCATACAATATAAGCTTTGGTAGGTTCTACCAAGTTGTAAAGTCTTTGGGTGTAATCCGAGAGATGGACTTTCGAGTGTCTGAAACTGTCCTTGCTAAGCATGGAGCAACTCTTCATGAGCAGGTTCGTCTGAAGGTGACAAATGCTTTGGCCATAAAGACCATGGAACAGGTAAAATGTTGTTGTTGTTGTTGTTGTTGTAGACTCTGTCATTGTCCTAAGCTTGATGTTGAATAGCATCTTTTTTAGCCATCTTGTGGGGTATCTTTCAAATTGCGCATTACTAAAGAACGGAAGCTTCTTGAGGGCAGGGACTATTTTGTTTTTGTCTTTGTATCCCCTGCATTTAACACAGTGAGCATTTAATATATGCTTATTGAATGGATCTAAATCCTTAATATACCATCACTCCCCCAGGTAATTTATTCAAACTAATTCTCAGACCCCTTTGGAATTCAAATACATCTGCTAGGATGTATTAAGTTTATATTTTAAAATTCTCTCATTAGATTTTTATGGTTCATAATATCACTATTACATATCAGAAGATAAATTCAATGCTACAGTCACAGTTGCTTCTTTAATTGTAATTTAATATAACTTATGTTTTTTTACGTATAGATCTTAGTATACTTTCTCTATATTGTTACCCACTTCCCTGGAAAAGTTTTGATTGAATGTCTTTTTGATTAAATGCAATTTAAGCAGGCATTTAGCTGGTGACAACCACAATGAGATGCTATTGTTTTTAAGGTCCTATACAGCTCTACAGTTCTGTGACAATTAAAATATTCTGAGAGACATAGTTTCTGGGTAATTTTATCATTTTATTAAATAAAATAAGCACATTTATTAATAAAAGGATGGTTATTTGCTATTTCTCTTAGACCAAAGACCCCACATGGTGGTGAGCTCACAGTTTATGTGTCCTTTGAAGAGGTGTTCCTAAGGGGTACCAGTCAACTCTGATCGGTTAACACAATGGGATGTGGACTATATTCTAGTGAGGGTCTTGGGTACGTGACTTGGGTCACCTAAATCTTGGTCAATGGGACTTTTCTATTTCCATGTCACCTGTCAGACAAAAGAGAAAATCAGCATTTTCCCAGATCCATCTGAGCAAACACAATAAGCAGGAATGCACCCACTAGCCTAAATTGTTTACCATTTAATTAGATGTTGGCCTGGATAAATCTTTAAGAGCAATTTTCCGCACTAGGTGGTTTCTGGAGAAAAGGGTAAAAACCTTGGTCCTAATTCAGTAATTAGTTATTAAATAAAAGAGAGAAATACTAATTTCTCATAGTTCTTATAATTTTCTTTTTATTTTTTCTTGCATGTCACATAAGTGAACATTGTAGATGCTTCCTCACTGTCAAATTCTTCCTTTAAAACCAGCTTGTTAGAGTCTTCTTCACATGCCAGGTAATGTTCTGGGTACAAGAATGACTTGAATTTTATCTTATTATAGCCTATAACTTTGCTTAGCTGGAACAAGATATCTTTGTCCTTGTCTTCAATGTTGTCTGGAAAATCACCCTCCTATAGGAAAAAAGAAAGCAAAACATCCCAGATGTTATAGTGTTGGGCCATAGACAGCCTAAATGGGAAGAAGTACAAATGATGGGGCTGATAGAGCAATGGGACCCCTAAAAAAGAGTCCCTGAACTTGCCCACAAATTTCAATAGCCCAGATCCCTGGCATTCCCTTGAGGCATCCAGTCTACCCCAGCTACTTGACATTCCTTAATCGATCCAGGCCCCTTTCCGTTACCTCTGGACCACTTCAGGTGATTTGGTATGCCTTTAGCCCATCCAGATTTTGTTACAGTCTTTCTGTATAAAAAAACCAGTCTTGCCCCCATTAAATTGCTCAAATTCTTAAAATCTGGCCTGCTTGTATTGGCATCACAAGTACCGCAGACTCACTAGGAATCTATCCAGCTCGCTACTTGGATTGAAAGAAGGCTTGAGTGGTCAAATTCTTTTGAGGCAGACTCCTGCCCCATACCCTTGGATTTTGGGGTTCCTAGCACTCCTAGACTGCAACATATCTTGGTTCCCTGCTCTGTGCAATTTAATGGTCCCATTGCTCCATCAGCCCCATCACATATATTTACATTATATAGAATATTGTTGAGGTTCAGGGGCACCCCAAAATATTGAGGCGCATAGTGTATGTGTGGTGAGGTTGTCCTGAAAGAATTCGTTCAGGCTGCCTCCAAATCAAGTAAAGGTATTTATTTCCAGTAACACAATACACCAAGCAAGCTCCCCCATCCCTTAAGGGAGATGTAGTTTAAGGGAGACCCCAGCTTAAGGGGGTGGGGCAGCTCCTCAAGAGAGACAGCTGCTTCTTAATGGAGATAGCAGCTCCGTAAGAGAGCCAGTACCCCAAAGGAGAAGTCCCCCCCCAAGGGAAAAGCCCCTCCAAGGGAGACAGCAGATTCAGGGAAATGGCTCCTTAAGGGAGACACCCACTACCTGCCTTGGGTGGGGCAAGATAAGGTAATCAGGGACACCTGGACACATCATTATTCCATTGTCAGCCCAAGGCAGAGGGGTGGAGGGGCGCAGGGTTAGTTTTGGTATTTCATTGACCAACCTATTTGAATCTCAATATCTTCTTCAGTACTTCAGATAACGTGTTTCTCATTGACCAGTCTACCTGAATGTTGTCACAAGGACCTGAGCTCTAATCCTTTGCACTGACTTTTGGTGTAATATTGACAAAGTTCCTTCCCCTCTCTAGGCCTCAGTTTCTTATCTACCTAATAAGGGGATTGGACTGGGATATTTTTAAAGGACTCTTCTAATTCTCTCCATAGAATATTGCTATTCTGTCTAGCTTATTTATCTATGTATTCATTCATCTATTTAAGTATTCATTCATCTATTAATTAATGAATCAAGTTATCTAGTTATCTGTTAATTAATTCTATCAAAGACACTGTGATTCATTCAGTCATCCAGGTTTGAGACATGTTTTCCTTGACATCTCACCCTTTTGTACCTCAATGTGTAATCACTTGCCAAATCTTGTTTCTAGTTCTACAACGTCTCTCCCCTTTTGTTTACTCATAGAGCTATCACTCTTGTTCAAGCCTAAGTCAGCCTCTTTCCTGGACTATTACAATGGCCTCCTACTTGGTCTCTGCCTCCAGTCTTTCTCCATTCCAGTCCATCCTTCACACAGATGCCAAAAGTGATTTTCCAAGTCTGATCATGTCACTCCCCTGAATGAACTCAATGACCTCCAATTGCTTCCTATTGTATTTAAGATTAAATACAGACTCTTCAGGCATTTAAAGTTTTTCAAAACCTGGCTCCACCCTACCTTTCCATGCTTATTCTACGTTATTCCCTTTCATGCAACAAGCTGGCGCCATTACTCCTCACACACAACATTCCATTTCCTGTCTGTATGACTTTGCACAGGTTGTTCTCCAGTGCTCAGAATTCATTTCCCCCAAATCCACCCCCTAAGATCCTTTGTTGCTGTCCAGTCATTCAGTTGTGTCCAACTCTTCGTGACTCCATGAACTTGTCCATGGGGTTTTCTTGGCAAGGATACTGAGTAGTTTGCCATTTCCTTCTCCAGTGTTTCCCCATCTTACAGACGAGGAACTGAAACAAATAGTTAAATGATTTGTCCAGGATCACACAGCTTAATAAATATCTGAATCCGGATTTGAACTCAGATCTTCCTGATCCAGCACTCTATCTATTCCACCAAAGGATCTCTAGCCTCCTTCAAAGTTCTTGCTACACGATGCTTTTCCTGATCCTCACAACTGCTAATGCTTCCTCCTCAAAATTATGTCATCCTTTGTATATAAACTTCATCTGCACTTATATGACTACATGTATTTATTTTCTTACAGAATGCATATTCTCTGAGATTGGGCACTGTTTTGTGGATACAAATACAAAAATTTCATATTTATCTTCCTGTTACTTATCACAGTTCCTGGAGCAAAGTAGGTGCTTAATAAATGCTTGTTGATTGATTGGTTATTATTTTCTCATCTGTAAAATGGAGAGATGGGCAAGATAAGATCTAAGTTCCATTACAGATCTAGAAGTCTGTGTTTTCTGTCTGTTATCTTACATTGCCTATTCCACAGGGCTTTTGTAAGACTCAGATGAAATAATATCCATAAAGTGCTTTGTAAACTCAAAATAAATGTCAACTAATTTTGTTCTTTCCCCCTTCAAGCTTGATCCTGATATTCATGTCACTGGACTTCCCTCTTGTTAAAGGGATGGAAAGAAAACCATATAGTGAGGTTTGCCCACGATCCCTTCATCCTTTAAGCCCAGTCCTGATGCTGTTGCTAATCTAGAAGAGGGGATTAAAAAAAACCCCTTATAATTGGCTTTGAGATACCGTGGGGTATTTAGGTGGCACAGTGGAGAGAATGCTGGGCCTGGAGTCAGGAGGACTCATTTTCTTCAGTTCAAATTTGGCCTCAGATACTTACTAGCTGTGTGACCCTGGTCAAGTCACTTGCTCCTATTTGTCTCAGTTTCCTCATCTGTAAAATGAGCTGGAGAAGGAAATGGCAAACTACTCTAGTGTCTTTACCAAGAAAACCCCAAATGGGGTCAAAAAGAATCATACATGACTGAAAAATGACTGGTGCTTGAGATGCCTTATGACTTTTTTTTTCCTTTGGCACTTTTACCTTGCTAATTATCTTGTATTTAGGCTGTTATTTAAGTGAGTTCCCTGAGAATTAAGCTAAAAGCAAGATTAAGTTAAAAGCAAGATTCATTCCTGAAAAAACAACAACTATGCTTTCATTCTTTCTTCAGACTAGTATGGCAACTCACTGTCTAGGTTATAATCCATAATGGATGTCACAATGACCTGGGTTTTGATATTGGTGCTGGTTCTACCCCACAAGCAAAAGCCAAAAGTCATTCACTGACTTTGGCAAATACAGGTGGTCTTCCATTATCATAATTCTTTGTCTCTTGCTGTTTATTCTCCAGGCATGGGTTTTAGACTCAGGAACTGGGGAGTTGTTTCTAATGTTTTCCTAGTAATGAAAGTAAGAACTCAAGAGGCTTAATCTTACCTTAAATTGAACTTCTTTGTCACTTTTGCAGGTTAGATGATAACTCTCATTTCTACCCCTCACAGAGATGGCTACTAAGGGTGTTGGGCTATCACAACCATAATATTGCAGCATAAATTGAGTCCAGGGTGCATTGCCTGAGATTAAATATTTATGAATTAGAATTATTTTGAGTAGAAAGGCTTTTCCCCCCTTCAGATCTGAACATTTAATGATAGTTACTAAGTCCTCCTAACAGACCTCTCTTCTTGGTCTTACATTGTGTCTTTATAGCTGAGGTAGACTAGAAGAATGTATTTATCTTGCCATGGCTACTTCACACTTCTTAATATGTCATTAACTATGCATGCAAAAAGTTCCAGAGTCTGTTCAAGGTGCTTTCTAACCTTAAATACCCAATTTGGGCCTTTGCTTCACTTCAGAAGTTAGTCTTTGTTGTTGAAACACAATTTGAAGTAAATAAGAATAGTCAGAGTATCTATCACTCTTTGTGAATCAGAATCTGTAGAGTGGAAAGCTCAGGAAGTTGACTATTTTTTGAGGCATTTTAAGGCTATAGCTGAAGACAAGAACCATATGAAATAATTTTGGGCTTCTCCTTGGCTTTGTTTAGAAATTTCTCTAGAAAATTCTGCATCAGCGTCTGTAGGCCATAGGTAAGATCTTGACGTGGTGAATTTTATGTCTTCTCTAAAAAGGAAACTGATCTTCAGACTAGAACTAATAGATCAAAAATAATAAAGTTGTAAAAAAAACACAGACCCCCCCTCCAGAAAAAACCTCAAGAAAAATAAAGAAAATTTTTTAAAAATTTGCTTTGCTCTATATTCAGACACCATCAGTTGTTTCTTTGGAGATGGATAGCATTCTTCATCATAAGTCCTCCAGAGGTGTCTTGGATCATTGCACTGCTGAGAAGAGCTAAGTCATTCACAGCTGACCATCCCCCAATATTGCTGTTACTCTGCACAATGTTCTCCTGGTTCTACTCCTTTCATTCTGCATCAGTTCATGTAAGTCTTTCCAGGTTTTTCTGAGAGCATCTAGCTCATCATTTCTTAGAGCACAACAGTATTCCATCACAATCATATACTACAACTTCTTAATGTGAATTATTATAGTAGCTTCCTAATTAGTCTCCCTGCTTCAAGTCTTTACTCACTCCAATCCATCTTTCACACTGTTGCTTTAGTGATCTTCCTAAAGCTCAGGTCTGATTACAATAATTAGTATAGCGGTACATATATGTTATTAGTAAATAAATATATACATATAGGGGTATGCAATTTTTAAAAATTTTGGAAACTACTAGCATAGATTAAGGTAGTGATAATGCTATTGTATTCTGTTGGTCTGACTACACATAGAGCATAGTGTTTAATTCTTGGCAAAGCATTTAAATTTTTTTGTTATAATAATGTTAGAAGAATAAACCAATATACTAACACTTGTATTAATTAAGGCATGTAGTATCAATGAAATATATAATCTTTACTTCAGGGTTCTGTGATTTCATTTGGTCTGGGTATTCCTTCCATAAATGTAGATTCCAAAGCCTCTTTACCTCACTAGGTGGTCTTCCTTAGTTGCTGTGGCTGGAAAAACTCCTTTACCAAATGGCCAACTTTCTGGTGATTGTACTTCTCGAGACTTAGCTAGGCTGGTACTTAATGTGAGGTTCCCATGACTGCTAAATACCAGGGTCCTTTGACATATGAATCAGGGGTGGGCATAATATTTTAAGAAGAATTTTTTTTCAAACAAGAATGCATCTAGAGGACTGATGACCAGCATGGAAAGGGTCATCTGAGGAGTGGTTGAACAAACCAGGCATGTTTTCATCTTAGGAAGAAATGATTAAGCAGGGTTGAGGGTGGGAGGAACAGATGGACATGATAATGGTCTTTAAACATCTGAATGGCTGTGATATGTAAGAGAGATTGACCTCATTCTGCTTGGGGAGAATGAGAAGGGATGGGTAGAAGGTACAGGGAGATAGATTTTAATTCAATATGAAGAAGATGAGCACGCACAAGTACAAAAAGGAGAATGTATGGTTAGATAGAAGTTTCTCAGAAAAAGATGGAGTTTCAGTGAGTTGAAACCTCAATATGATTCATCAATATAATGTGGCAGTCCCATCAATTGGGAAATGGCTGAGCAAGTTGTGGCATATGAATGTAATGGAATACCATCATGCTATAAGAAATGATGAACAGGCTGACTTCAGAAAAACATGGAAAGACTTGTATGGTCTGATGCTGAGTGAAGTAAGCAGAACCAAGAGGACTTTGTACACAATAACAGCCACGTTATGCGATGACTAATATTGTTAAACCGAACCCTTCTCAGCATTGCAAGGATCTAAGACATCTCCAGAGGCCTCGGGATGGAAAATGCTGTCCACATCCAAAGAAAGAACTATGGAAGTCGAATCACTATCACTTATTTTTGCCTTCTGTTGAGTTTCATTTCATCTTTCTGATGGTTCCTCCTATTGGTCTTAATTTTTACTTACAACTTCACTAATGTGAAAATATGTTTAATAGGAATGTAACTGTAAAGCCTATATCAGATTATGCGCCGTCTTGGGGATGGTGCAGGGGAGGAAGGGGAAGAAAAATTTTCAACTCAAAAGCATATCGAAGTGATTGCTGATAAATCAAAATAAATTAATAAAATTAAAAAAAATATGATGTGGCAGTCAAAAACCTAAATGTTGAATCATAGGTTGAATCAAGACAGGCAAAGATTCTAGATAAAAAGAATCAATATTCTCTCTGTACTTTGCCTTGATTGGACCACATTTGGAATATTATGTTAAGTTCTGGGCACCAGAGTAAGAATGTTGATAATACTAGCTGTGTGACCCTGGGGAAGTCACTTAACCCCAATTGCCTTTAAAAAAAAAAGAACATTGATAAGATGATGAAAATGCTCAGAGGAGAACTAGGATATCTAAGGGTCTTGGGTCATATGAAGACTGAAGAAATTGGGAATATTTAATTCAGAGGAGAAGATGCAGGGAGGGCATGCTTGCTATGTTCAAGTATTTCAAGGGTTGTCACCTGGAAGAACAATTACTTTCTGTGTTTGACCCCAATGAGCAGAACCGGGGCAACGGATTTGCAGAGTTGCAAAAGAGATAGATTAAAGCTTGATCTCAGGAGCAACTCCCTCACAGGTAAAACTATTCTAAGTGGAATGGACTGCCCCAGGAGATGGCAGGCTCCTTGGAGGTTTTCAAGCAAAGAATGGATGTGACCACCTTGGGGTATCTGATAATGATTCCTTTCAGGTATGGGTTGGACTAAGTGGCTGCTGTGGTCTCTTCTGACTAAAACTTCTCTAATTCTCTAATTAGAGTTATTTGAAAATGTGGAGGGTTGCTTTATGAAGCTGTGAGTTCCTTGTCACTGGATGTGTTCAAGCAGAGGTTCGGACATCAGTAAGGAATGCCAATAGAGGGGCTTTCTGTACTAGGTAGGAGGGCGGTGGTGGTGGGTTAACTAAATAAACATTTGGGGCTCTTCCAATTTGAAGATTCTTTGATTATAAGGGTATAATTATTACAAATTGCTTTGTAAAATAAATTGAGACTCATAGAGATAGTACTTTGTTGATTGGGTTATGTTGCATGTCCTCTACATAGGGAAGAAGAGAGATGTGTAAGAGCTTTGGATTCTCAAAGAAGCCCCCAGGAGTATGCTCAGTAATCAAATCCTACAAGGACAAATGAATATCCAAATGGAATTTGGTATGAATAGCATTAAGTTGGACCTATTCCTGTATTCAGGCTTGGGTCTAGCAGGGCTTTGGGACTTAAGTGACAAAATAGAGTCTGAAGAACAAAGACCTTGGGAGGCAAAGTGATGAAACACAGCAAGACCCTTAAGCTGGTAGTCAGGACAATTAGGTTGTTAGTGCTCATTCTGCTACTAACTGGTCATTTGACCTTTGGCAGGTAACAGCTTAACCTTACTATCTGAATACAGATCGAAGCATACTTTTTATTTTAACTTTATTTTTTCTTGAGGTTTTTTTTGTCTGTGTTTTCTTTCACAGCATGACTATTATGGATATGTTTTGCGTGACTACACATGTATAATCTACATTGAATTGCTTGCCTTTGCAATGAGGTGGAATGGGGAGGGAGGAAGGGAGAGAATTTGGAAATCAAAGTTTTAAAAATGAATGTTAAAAATTGTTTTTACATGTAATTGGGAAAAATAAAATAGTAAATAAATTTTAAAAAGACATTTGACATTAATTTCTTCCAGGAAAGTCATTTTTGCATTTGTAAAATGATAATTTGGGGGCAGCTAAGTAGCACAGTGGATAGAGCTCTGGCCTTGGAATCAGGAGGATCTGAGTTCAAATCCAACCTCAGACACTTGACACTTACTAGCTGTGTGACCTTGGGCAAGGTACTTAACCCCGATTGCCTCACCAAAAAAAAAAAAGACAATTTGGATTAACTTTCTCTAAGATCCTTTCCAATGTTATGATTTTCTTGTTTTCTAAAAAATGAAAACCATACCTTCGATCTCACCATCTGACATCTCCTCAAATATGGCCATTTCTTCCTTTTTCTTGAAGAAGAGAACTTTTTCTTTTGAATTCTTTAACACGATACAAATGGGCACTCCAGCCTTTTTGAATAGTGCTTCACCTGTTTTAAATACACAGCATAGAAATGGGAGTTTTTCACATCTACCAGTAGTAGACCTTAGGCGTAGCTTTTTCATAGTGATTGCTGACAACTTCTACTTACTAAAGAATAGATCAAAAATGGCTTATTTCTTTGAACTCCTTGCACAAGAGAATCACAGATATGGAAAAAAAAATAGAATTCTTTGAGGAATTCGAGTGATTACTCCCACAATACCAAAGAGAGAAGGGGATGCTTTTTACCATCTTGAAGGCAGAAACTATTTTCCATTTTTGTCTTTATGCACTCAGTGCTTAGCATAGTATCTTATGCTTAGTAGGGTCTTAATGACTGCTGAATTGAAGGATTGCTACTTTAAGAAAAAGGCACCTAAAAATTGGAGAAACCACCTATAATCAAGAGCCTACAGGAACTCAAGGAGGCACAAAATCTGGACAGTGGAGAGAGAATCCTTTCCCTTTCTTATAGAGATTTATTGGCTCCCACAATGCCTTCCCTCTGAGATTACCTGCCATTTATTTAACCTGTATATTTCTAGGGCCCACAGGGGCAATTGGGTGTCACCATGAATAGAGTGCTGAGACTGGAGTCAGGAAGACTAGAGTTCAGATCTGGCCTCAGATACTTTCCAGTTGTGTGACCCTAGGCTAGTCATCTCTATTTGTCTCTATTGTTTCATCTATAAAATGGGGATGGCACCTGCTTCCCAGGGTTGTTATGAGGATTAAATGAGATAATAATTATAAAGTCTCCCCCATTATAATGTGAGCTCCTCGAGAGCTGGGGCTGTCTTTTGTCTTTCTTGGTACTCCAGGGCTTAGGACAATGTCTGGCACAGAGTTGTTCAGTTGTTTCAGTTGTGTCCAACTCTTTGTGACCCCATTTGAGGTTTTCTTGGCAAAGATACTTGAGCGGTTTGCCATTTCCTTCTCCAGCTCATTTTTACAGATGTGGAACTGAGGCAAACAGGGTTAAGTCACTGGGTCACATAGCTAGTAAGTGGCTGAGGCTGGATTTGAACTCAGGTCTTCCTGACCCTGGGCCTAGTGCTCTATCCACATCACCATAAAGAGTGGGCACTTGATAAATGCTTGTTGACCAACTGACTAAAGAATCAAAACACCGCAATGGATATCTCTTATTCTCTGGGGTATATTACCGAGAACAGTACCAGCGAAGGTGAAATCAGAAAAAAGTGTGGATGGTCACATTCCCTCTGTTTATGTATTCCTTACTGTGTTGATGCCCTGGCCCCAGAGACAAATACTATGGACCTGACTGTTTTTCTGGACATTCCAAAAAGTCCGTGATTTCCTACTTGGATCAAGCCTTGATTGGCAGCACAGAGTCAACGTGAAAAGGATGAATTTTGAGAGTTGGAGAATTTCCAGAGCAACACGGAACACTTGGCCACAATCTCCTCTTTTCTTACCCCTTGCAACACAATCATTTTCATACAGTAGGAGTTACACTGAACCCATATGGCCCACATCCCTTTCATGGAAGGAATCCAGCCTCTCAAACCAGGTCTGATCCATGAGGAGCCAATTTTTCTCAAGGCTGAACAAGTTGACAAGGACATATGGGTATGCAGTTACAAGCAACTCCTCCTCTCCCTCCCCAGTCTAGAGCCAATAGAGAAATCAAGTCATCCTTTTTTTTTTTCAGCTTAAGGGGAAAAAGTTAAATCCTGATTTAAAAGAAATACATTTTCACTTTCCCTCACCATCTTCTTGTGCTCCCTCATTTTTTCGTCTTCCCATCCTGCCCCATTTCCTATAACTTCTGTAGTTATGTACAGTTTCTTTTAGGGAAATTTGTCCAGAGAACTGAATGTATCCCAACACATGAGACACTAAAATGTGCCATCTTGGGAAACTGAGATATGATATTTAAAATCAAGGTTTTGTAAATTATAATTTTCAGATTTCTTGTAGGTGAGTGGAAATGTCTATGAGATAATGGCTTTACTCTTTAAATGACTCAGTGCAGGGATAGAGGAAGGTGGGAAATGAAAAGTTTTCTATACAGTCTTCAATGGTACTGGCTTCTCTACTGCAATGACAAGACTGCCTTTTTACTTGCTACCACTTCCAAATATAGGTATCCTTCAATTTTATAGCAGTTAATTTAAGAGAATTCTCAACCAAAGAGCTCATGGTATGTCATCCATTTGCTAAGTAACAGCACATCTCAAACTTTTTAGAATTGTGGGAGGTCCATTAAGGTTACAGCCTTCCTATGTGGTTGTATGTTGCTGTCACCAGGAATTCCTAGAGCCTCCCTCTAGTGTGTGTGTGTGTGTGTGTGTGTGTGTGTGTGTGTGTGTGTGTGTGTGTGTTAGTCTCTAGGGACCCAAGCTTTTTCAAGCAGACTATGTCTCCAATATTATAATAGAAGTTGATGGGGAAAACATGATATTCACTTAAGAGAATAATTATAATAGCTCACTTAATATTGCATATTTTACAATATACTATCTTGTGATATAGTACCATATACAATGCACTACCTTATAAAGAACAGTGGCTAGAACACTTGGCATGGATAGTCAGGAATACCTAAGTTCATTTACTAGCTGTGTGTCCCTGGGCAAGTCAATTAACTTTTGTTTGCCTCAGTCTCCTCAAAAGGGGATAATAATAGCTCCAACCTCCCAGGGTTGTTGTGAGGATCAAATGAGATAATATTCGTAAAACATTTCGTTCTTTCCTGTTTTATACTCTGCTACGGTTTATAAAACATTTCCCTCATGATGACCCTGTGAGAGGCAGTACAATCACAAAGAATAACTACAATAACCCATTAAAAGGAAGAGCTGTGGGTGCATTCCAAAGAATTCTTTTGTTTAGATTTTAAATAGTTGTAAGGGGCTACTTAACTTAATTATTTTGTTGTTATTCTGAACTTGAAAAATATCAATATAAGCATTTTCATATACACAGAAGAGAAAAAGGATTTTACATGAAAGCACAAATCTCTATGATGTATTGCTTACATTATACGGTGGGTATATATGTGTATGTATGTGTATACATACATATATGTACATACATGTATATATGTGTATATATACACATACTTTTTATCATATTTATCATGTTAGTTTCAAAGCCCTGTTCATATGTCTTCTGTTCTCTTCTGTGTATTAAGAGGTCTCACTATGACTGACCTTCCTTTCCTTCCTTCTTTCCTGCCTTCTTTCCCTCCTTACCCCTTATTCTTCACTACTGCTACTCCTGAATGTTTCTCCCCTCCCCCACCTTAAAAACCAAAACAACCCTTAGAATAAATGTGTATGGTCAGACAAAAGAAATCCACATGCTGGCTAAGTTCAAAAATGCCTATGGCTACTTACCACTGAAACAGCATACATCCTCTCTAAGTCCTGTCTCCATAGTGTTGGCAAAATGGAGACTACAGTCCACTTCTGGGGCACAGCCTTCTTGACAGTCATCTACAATTGCCATCTTTATACCTAATGAAAGTGGAGACCATACTGTTGAAAGATAACCAAAGTTCTTTTGACATATTATATTGCCTCCCAACTGTTTTCCCAACTCATATTTCTTTGAGCATTTTTTTTCTGCTAGCATTTTGTTTTCTTTCCTGTTATAGCATGTTATTATTTAGGGATATTATTATTTAGGGATATTTCTTATTCTCTGAGTTATATTGTAAACTTTTTGAGGGTAGGATTACTTTGTTTTTCTTTTTGTATCCCCAGCACTCAGTACTGTGTCTTGCACATAGAAGATAGGTAGTTAATTTATATATTTTTGAAATTGAAGTCAGTACTTCACTTAGAACCCTGGATATTTAGTATGTATTTGTTGAATGCTGTAATCTATTGACTATTTAATTTCTTGGTAATCTGATGGGTTTCTCCTAATAATGTGAACTCTCTTGTCACCTTCTTAGAAGTAAAACTCATCATGTCCAAGATAGGTGTATACTTGTGTCATCCCTCATAGATGCTTATAAATTCTTTTAGGGCAGAACAAGATCATGTGTCTCATTCATTTTTTGAATGCTTGACTTTCAGGCTTTAGTACTGTACTTTGCACATACCATTCATTCTGTAGATATCTGTTAAATGAACAAATGAATGAACCAAAAACAATAGTATTGAATGCATGTCCATCAATGTGGAAATATCACAATATTGATATCACAAATTTGGGATATCACAATTTTTCCTGTTTTATTAGGACAAAGAAGTTAGTAAACAGGAAGTACTGGGTACTTGAAGAGGGTAGGTCAGATTCCATGAATGAAAAGAGAAGAAAACAAAAAGAAAGGGGAGATCAGAGGCACCAATCACAAACTTCAAAAATTTCACAATTATCATACAAACTCAAAGTTGGAAGGGACTTCTGGTCCAATCTGTACCTAAATAAGTACAGACAGGACTGCTGTATGTGTGGCTCACATATACATGAATAGACATCTCTAAGGAAAATTTTAATTCCTACCAGGAGGGGGCCAGAGGCTATACACTCTGCTGTCCTCAGAGAGAGGAGGTACTAGATAGAATTATATCTATCTGCTCCCTTAAATATTATTAGTCTGGGGGAAGTAACATTGAGGTTCAAGCTAAATTCTTGATCTCTATTAATTAATGGGGAAAGCCACTTCCCCAAGCTTTGTATCCAAGGCTTGGTGCCCTTCCCACCAAATACAAGTTGTACCAGTGAACATGCATAACAAATAGTAAAATTTATCCAAGTTGATAGCAAAACAAAAATCAGAGAAAAAATATATGTGAAAATATATACCAGACAATATAGATTGAAAGACCTCTCCCATTCAGTTCAACCAAGAGAGAGAGTCCTAGATTTCCCTCAGGGGGGAAATTTCCCGAAGTCTCTAGAATAGCAAGCAGGGAATACAGACATGGAAGAGACTGCCAGCTCCTCTCATGTTGTCTTCTTCTCAGAATCTTTCTCTCCCTTTAGTGACCTAGAGAGGTTGGAATGGCCATCTTCTCTCTTAAAAATGGAAGCCAGAAGAGCCTACTTGAAGCCCTAAAAACTAGGATCTTGGGGCAGCTAGATGGTGCAGTGGATAAAGTACCAGCCCTGGAGTCAGGAGGACCTGAGTTCGAATACGGCCTCAGACACATAACACTCACTAGCTGTATGACTTTGGGCAAGTCACTTAACCCCAATTGCCTTACCAAAAACAAAACAAAAAACCAGGATCTCTCTTCTCTCTTGCTCTTACCAACTCTGCTCTGCCCCTCATGTCGGTGCAGGGCATTGATCTCCACAAATGAGGAGAGAATCCCATGCCAATGGGTTTTAGGGCTTACAGAAGAATTCATGCTACAGCACCCCAGACAAATGGTTATCCAGCCTCTGCTTGAATGCTTCTAAGTGATGAAGAGTGCACTTCTTTCCAAGGCAGCCTTTTCCCCTCTGGGACAGCTCTAATTCTTAGGAAGTTCATCTTTAAATTAAGTCAAAGTCTTCCTCTCCACAACTTCTTCCCTAGTTCGTCCTAGTTCTTACATCTAGGGAAAAGTGGAACAAATATACAGTGGTTTCCCTTGGGTATGATAGTCCTTCAAATACTTTAAGACAGCTCATATGTTTCTGCAAACAGCCCTATTACCTTTGACTGATTCTCATATGGCATGATTTCCAGTCCCTTTACCATTCTAGTCATTATCCTTTGAATGTTGTCCATGCTTGTCAAAGTCCTTATTAAATGTGGTGTCCATGACTAGACACAATAGTCCAGATATGGTCTAACTAGCCCTGAGTGCAATGGCACTCTGATTTCCCTCCTTTTGGATGTTGTGCTTGTCTTAATGTAGCTTAAGGTGGCAGTGGGCTTTTTTTTTTTTGGCTTTCATGTCTCAAGGTTGAATCATATTGAATCTGCAGACCACTAAAACCTCTAGGCCTTTTTCTTATCAACATTTATCCACAGGCTATCCCTATTTATCTTTCCATTTGTGTGCAGATAAATAGAAACTGCGGTCAGAGATCCCTCATATCTTTTATGGTTGTGAAGCATCCCTTTTTAGCCTCTCCACTGTGGCAGCCCATTCTAACTTGCCCTCTCCTATCCTACCCCACTATGCTTGCTGAATCTTCATCAAGTTCAATAAAAAGGGTTTTTAAAAATCTGAACTTAACAAACACCAAATAAAGTGGGAATTTCTTTGTACAAAGTAGAACAGAAAAAGATGATTGCAAATGAAACAGTAGGAGATATATGTATATATATAAAAAAAAATATATATATATATATATACACACATATGTATATGTGTATGCACATGGTATATACATACTTGCTTATATATAATAGCATTTGATGACTTCAACCGGGAGTTTTCAATGCTTTTTTGTGCTTCTTTCTGGCCTTTCTTCTGTCTTATCTTTAAACAAGATACCTCACTAACCCTCTTTTTTCCCCTCTTTTTTTCTTTTGCTATTCCTTTAAACAAAGCCCTTGGAACAAATATGGATGGTCAAGTAAACCAAATCCCGCATTGGCTGAGTCTGAAAATATATGTCTTATTCTGCATCTTGAGTCCATCACCTCTCTGTCAAGAGATAGGTAGCAAGCTTCACATCAGGCTTCTAGAATCTCTGTTGGATATTGGTCAAAGTTCTCAAGCCTTCCGAATTTTTTTTCCCTTGTAATCTTGTTGTTATTATATAAGTTATTCTCTTGGTACTCATTTTGCTCTATGTAAGTTTATTTGGGTCTTCCCAAGATTCCCTGGAAATATTTATTTCATCATTTCTTATGGCAAAATAGTATTCTGTTACATTCACATGCCATAATTTGTTCATCAGTTCCCTAATAAATGGGCATTTCCTTAGTTTCCCTGTTCTTTGCTACTGTAAAAAGAGCTGTTATAAATAATTTTGTACATATGGATCTTTTCCCTTTCTGGTCAGGGCCAAAGAATATGTATACTTTGGTGACTTTTGGGACATAGTTTCAAATAGATTTTCAGAACAGTTAGACCAATAATGCATTAATGCATCAGTTTTTCTGTAGCCTGTCCAGCAACTGTCATTTTCCTTTTTTTTGTCATCTTTGCCAATCTGATAGATGTGAGGTAGAACCTCAGAGTTTGTAAACTTAGGATTTCTCTAATTAGTAGTGATTTGGAAGCTCAGTTAAAAGCTTCCTGTCCTGTATCACATCCCTTCAGCTCTACATTCTCTGTGCTTTCCTTAGCAACTAACTAATTGGACCAACCAATTCATGTTAATATGCTAATGAGGGCTGAGAAGTTCTTCCCTTTTGGGCCATATCTATATTTTAATTATGGCCTTCTGTTGACAAAACACCCTTCATTTGTTGTCTAAAAAGAGAAATGACTCTAATGTCAGAGATTTCAAGTTAGAGAGAGGAGAGTGGTGTTACACAGGTCAATAGCAGAGCTATTTATTGGTGTACCTGACTTTTCCGTATTAACCTTTAAATCAGATTACTTAAACAATTCTAAAGCATCATAGCTTCTTCTACCTAGGGCTGGCTTTGTGTGTAACCGTACTTTTTTACCTATGTAAATCAAAAGAGGTGGAAATCAAAATCAGGGGTGGAAGGGAATTTAGAGGCTACTTTATCCAATCCACACTTGAAGACTACAGTATCTCTGACAGGTGATCATCTGGTAGATCAGCCTCTGCTGATAAAGATCCCCTTCAGTGATGGCCATTGAAAATTACTTGAAGATCTCTGGTGAGGAGGAACCCACTATTATTTGAGGAAACTAATTCCGCTTGTGGGTGTCTCTAATTATTAAGAAGTTTTTCTTCCCAATTGAACTGAACACCAGTCTCCACCCACTTGCTCCTAGTTCTTCCCTCTGGGGCCAGGCAGAACATGTCTAATCCTTCTTTTAATTCACAGGCTTTCCTGTATTTCCTTCTCTAGGCTAAAATCTCACATTTGCTTCAAGCAATCCTGGCATGATATAGTCTTCTGTTCCCTCACTATATTAGTTCTTTTTTGCATTAGTCCAAGCTTGTTGGCATTCCTTCTAAATCATAATGCCATAATCAAACACAGTGTTTGAAATGGGATCTAATCAGGGTAGTGTTCTCAGGAAGAAATACTTGCTTAATTCTGATCATATATTAATGTGGCCCAAAATGGCAGTGGCTTTTTGGACCATTATATTACACTGTTGCTTCATTGAGTTTGCAGTCCACTAAGCCTCCCAGATATTTTTTCACATGACGTATTGTCTGGTCATGGTGGCTCCACTCCATATTTGTTTTGATGATTTCAGCTTTATTCATCGTCATCTAATTAGAACCAGCTCATCATCCTAACTTGCTGAGACCATTTTCGATCCTGATTCTATTGTCCTTATTGACTGTCTTTCTCAGCTTTGTGTCACTTGCATATTTGATAAGCATGTCATCCATGTCTTCATCCAAATCATTAATAAAATGTTAATTAGCCCAGGGCCAAGAAGAGATACTTGAAGATCTCTAAAAGTGACTACCTTCTGGTTTGGCAATAGCCATTAAGCCCTGTTCTCTGGGTCCAGTCCAAATTTGGGTCCAGTGCCAAATTTACCTAACTGCCTAGAGAGCAAAGTTGCAAGAACAATGGTATAAAATGATCAAATATTCGTTTGGTTGCTGTGCTTTAAAATTATGAGCTTTAAAACTTATAATGGCACTCTGAAGAATGAGACCCCCCATTGGGAACCCCCCCAGTTCTCCTTCATTCCTCAAAAGTCAACATTACCACTATTCTCCTTCTTTCCCTCTAGCTTCAAAAGAAAAGTTGCCCCTACTATTTCTTTAGGCTAATTCTTCAGCCTGTGTCCTTGATTCCACCACCTCCTCCAGGACATTCCTCCAGCAATCTCTCATGAATCTTCACTCTTTCCTTCTCTACTAGCTATTTCTCCTCTTCTTACAAACATGCCTAGATCTCCTTAATCTTTTTTTTTTAAAGCTTTTCCTTAACCCTCCTCGGTTGCCACCTCTCTCCTGAGCACTTAGTTCTTTAAGACTGAAGTACCTTTTATATGCTCAACAATCTGTTAAGAGTCAGGAGGGAAAATGAAAATCATCCAGCCTTTGAATTTTTAAAGCCAGTTTCACATCTATGGTAAAAAGGTAGCATAGAATAGTGGCCAGATTTGAATCATGACTCTAGGCATGTTGTAACCTTTCTGGGCCCCAGGGAAGGTGTTGAGGGCCAGAGCTGAAGAGTCACCAACTTCCCGTGCCTGGGAGGTGTTAGAACACCCTGACCCTTGAACCTTGATAGCAACCAGGTGTGAATAATTAAGGATATGCATAAGGGATGGGGTTAGTCGCATAAGAATCATGGGAATGCCTCACTGGTGATTGTTAGCTTTCACTATTTAAACTGGACCCTCAGGATAATAAATGGCTCAGTCTTTAATTGACCTGCCTGGCCCACTGCTCCTCCGTTTGATGCAACACTTAGTGACAGGCAACAGGAAGGGTTAGGTTTGATGACCTATTAAGTCCCTTCCAACTCTAAATCTATGATTCCTATGATACTATGACCTCTTTATCCTCATAAGAGAGCCCGATAGCAAGTAGGACAGGTATAATTATCCCCATTTTAAAGATTAGGAAAATGAGATGGAGGAAATTGTTTCTTGACTAAGAATACATAGTTAGTCAACAGCAGAGCCAAGAGTGATAGACCAGTTGTTCTACCTTCCTGACTCTTTCTGCCATATGGTCTCAAGATCTATGCCCTTGAGAAGCTTAACATCTAGTGGAGAAGATAGCATTCACAGATAAAATTATTTTTTAAAAATTGTATGGGACAGAGCAAAGTTCTCTGAGGATTGAGAGTGAGGGGACAGATCAATGTGAGCAAAGCCCTTGTGTGGTAAAGACAGGACTGGAGCTGGGACTGGAAGAATGAGAAGAATTTCAATAGGTGGAAAAGTCCGGGTAATGGCATCTTCTAGTCAGAGCAATGGCATCAGCAAAGGAACTGGAGTGAGATGGAGCAATGTCTAAATAATGCAAGAGGGGAGTAGGAAGGCAACAAACCTTACTGGAATGGAGTGTTCTTGCTGGAGAGCAGTAAAAGATAAAGTAGGGGTGAGGGGGGCTTTGATTTCAATTGACCTTAAACACCAGGGTGAGGAGTTTGGACTTAAGTTGATAGACAATAAGGAAGCATCATAGGTTCTTGAGGAGGGGAAGGGCTTTATGTAGGTGGTGGATAAGGAGGGTTAGTTCGGGAGCAGTAGGTACAGTGACCGGAGAAGGGAGAGAGTAGCGTCAGGAGAACAGTTAAGAGGTTGCTGCAGCAACTGAGGTGAGGTGGTGAGACCCATAGGAA